TTAACTCCCAAATTCCATTATAGGGAAAAAGTGCACTTTTATTCTGCTGTTATCATTAAAAGAGCTCATACATTATCGTATCCAATTCTAACTGTATAATTACCATAAGAAAACTAGTCACAATTAACCAGTCACAACGAGTCACAATTAACCGGTCACAAACGATCGCAATCGGCCACAAACAATCACAATCAGCCACAACTACCTAGTAGTCAAATCACGATCGGTCATAGATCAAAAAAGATTCGCCGACACCACCAACTCCAGTTGCAGTCTTCTTACTCTACAGCGGCATCGACTACGCCGCCACCACCACCACATCAATCCAGTCATCCTTACTCTCCAGCGGCGCCGACGAGCTTGTTTAATTTCAAAAATTAAATAAAAACTTTACGAACGCTATCAACACAACACCACACCACAACAGTCGCAGTTAAACAACCAACAAAAATCACCCCAAAAACTTCGACGCCACCGGATAAGCCATCACAGTACACCATGTCGTGCACCAGATCTCGCAACGCCTCTCATCAAACAGCGGAGTGAAGGAGAAAAGGTGGGATGCAAGGCTTCATCGACGGCGCTACCAGTGACTTCTTCTGGTGTCTCCGACGACAGCTTCCAGATCGTCGCAAAGCGCAGCTGTCGTCGACTCCATGCGAAGAGGCTCCGATCCTTTTCCATTATAGCAGCATCTCGGTGTTGCTTCCGTGGTGACGACGGCACCTCGACTTCTTCGTTGCAGCACTGGGATTGTGGTGGCAACGATGCGATGTTTGCAGCGCCGAGATTGGGGGGGGATTATTAAGGTTTGGGTTTGGGGTTGGGTGGGATATGGCTGCAGATTGGGATTGGGGAGAGATATGAGCTTGGGTGGGTATGACTGAGAGAGAGAGAGAGACGAGAGAAAGGGTTGGAAAGAAAATGATAAATTAAGGTTTTAAATTTTTAATAATTATAATTATAAAATATAATTACCACCTAAATTTTGAAATGTAAACTTTATCACCTTGTTTTTTAAATGTAATGTTGAAAAGAAGGGTTTGAGGTAATTTTCTCTTTCATTATATATACGTGATCCATTTTACAATCAAGGTACATATTCGAACCCTAGCCAAATTTCCTCTCACTTCCTTGCACTCATATTATCTCTAGTTTGACCGTTGACTTGATCGTAGGAGTACAAACGATCGTCGGACATTTTTCTTGATCAACGGTCTTTGCCTTCTAACATAGTGTTCCAGTGTGCAGGTGATACATACGTGGAGGGAAGGTAGTCGGAATTTTGTTGTCGCAAAAATTGAGGTCAACAGTCCATGTTCATGGCCAAATATACTGGAATTGGTATCCTAATGTTGTTTATTAAGTTAACTGGTTAGAAATTCTACTAAGGTATTGATGAAGAAAAGTCACAAGATCTTTTATACCTTTTCTTTTAGATTTTCCAGCAGATATGAACTACCACACAGAAACTTTGTTGGTTCTTATGTTTGTCACCGACCATAGAAAGAAAAATTATAATTTCTCTCCAAGCCCAAATTCCCCTACCCCCTACCTTCTCTCCAATTCCTCCTAATCATATACTGCCCCAGATGCATCCAAGGAAATCCAATCAGCTCTTTTTACTTCAAAATAATTGAATTTGTATTGGCATGAAAAACTAGCTGAAAATGATCTTTGCACAGCAAACTGGATATGAATTGATTGTCGACAGATGTATAACTTAGGATGAATAATTTATTGAAGAGCATAAACAGAGGAAAAACTGACAATTTCAAAAGTAGCTATTTAAGAAACAAATTTTATAGTATGAACAATGAGGGAAAATACCTGCTGCACTTTCTGCAGATACAACACCAAGCTCATTTTTTGCAGTTGATAAATGATATGCCCTAGCATCTCCCAGGGATAGCTTTACACGGAAACAAATTAAGGCTCACAATTCAGACTCTAACAATTTAATCAAAGTTTTTCATCCAATGAAAACATTCTAGGTAGAGACAACTCTAAGACCCAAAAAATAAAAAAATAAAAAAAGAGCGCAAGAAAGCAATAGAAGTACATGAAAAGTTCTATCAGATCAAAGCTTTGTCGATAACTAATGTTTGTTAGTGAAACAATATAAAGGTAACTTTACTCGGCATTTCCTGGAGACATACATCTTTTTGCCAGAATGTGATATATGAGAAAAATTTATATCTCAGCATGAAGGATACAACTAAAGCTCTAACAATGTCACCCGGGCGGAAGGAGGAGTGCATATCTACTTTGTCAATCTCAGTTGCTCGGACATCTTGTTGCCTGTTACATATGACAAAATCAATTTTCAGTGACAGATCAAGCTCATAAATAGAAGATTCAATCAAGTTTCCATGCATCAAGCCATCATTGAAAAACATGATGTAAACTGTTGATATTGAGATTTGAAGTATTTTGCTTCTGTGAATGCTTTTGAAGCAGAGAAATAGGCAAGAGAAGCATCGAGTACTTGCCCCATCATTATTTAGATATATACCACAACAAGAGGCGATCATCACTTCAAATCTGCCATAAAAATGGCAAGCTGGATACTGTCATTTTCGCATTAAATGAACCCATTGAAGGAATAAGATTGAACGTACATTTTCGTAAGTAATAAGGCAATATAAAGATGTTGACTTCTCTGAATCAGAGGCTACAGGTATAATAAGCAATTCCTTAACTTATTTAAGTTATCCCAATAAGAAGCATATGCAGCATACAGATTGTTGAAGACTAAACACAAGATAGAGAAATTTACAACAAAAAACTAAGCACCATTCCTGGTAAGCTAGTGATCAGCTACATGAATCATTTTTTGCTAATCTATTCAATCCAACACTTCATCCTTTTGTGAAATCTTATCACATAAAACAAGTAATATAAAATCTAGTTCCATTAACATCTCTAAAAGGCCATAAAAAGATTCAGGTGTCAAAACTTGCAAGCTATGGTATCTAGCTCTCACATAAACGATGATTCTGCAGGAAAACTTAACATCAAGCGCCTAACCGGAAGACAAATTTTGGAAAGAGGTCAAACCCTAATCTCAGACTTAGAAGTAAAGTATAAAATTAAATCACATAGGAACGATAAGATATATAAGACTTTTCTCTTATCCTTTTTCATTTCTGTCCTCGACTCAATGGATAGGGAGAAAGTTGAATCACTGAAAATGAGGTTGAAATACAAAGAACGCTTTTTTGACATTTCAAATATGAAAAAATAAAAAAAGCAAAAGGGATTCCTTCATCATTTTGTGAAACTAGCATCTTAAGCAAATCTTATCATCATTCAGTAGTTCATTGACAATTGTCAACCATCAGCTTAAAATATTCTTCATACCTAATAATTCCTGTGAATTTTTCTCGTACAGACTTGGGACCTACACACATTATATCTGCTGAAGCCATTCTAGCCGTCACTTTAGTAACCTGTCAAAATCAATAAAATACTGTAAAAGATGATGGTGGCTTTTAAAAGTGTATAATCTGTTATTAGAAGGAAAAGTTTGCTCCAAAATGTTATAAATAGATTTCAAATGGACATCAATTTTTTTTATGCAAGCATTAAAAAAAACTGAAATGGCCAATTCTTCCATGCCAACTTCCCATTCCCTTTTAACTTATATTTCCTATATAATTAATTAAAGAATAACATACACCTGAACTACTGACCTATGCTTGAAGAAAGAATCCAAACTCGAATGTATTTCACAGATACGTAGAATCATTGGTGTTGAAAGTACTCATGATTTTGCAAAATTCAAGTTATAATTAGCATATGATTTCTTATTGGGGTAAATCATATGATTCCAATTTCCTATCTATTAATTTGAAGCCAATTCTTAAACTGGTTACTTGGCACGCATTTCCTTAGACAATATTAACTATATTTAAGATTCAAAGAGCTAGTTAGAAGACAGACATATTACATCTAAAGATTTAAAATTTAGCCATAATCCAATTTATCCACCAACCCAATGACCCACAAAGTAATTAACCCCGTAAATCCTCATTAATATTATCTAGCGGTAACCTATTTTTATCTAAGACGAAGCAGCTAAACTCCATCAAAGCAATTCGAGAATGATAATATGCACAGTTGCCAGAAAATTCAAAACCGAGATTAATTTGTATAAATTTAACAAGGAAAAGCATTAGCAATAAAAAGAACCTTACTCTTGCAATGACAGTAGCACCACTCTCGGGAACAGCACCATGGGCCTTATGACCAATCACGTCCACTGTTGGCCTCTAACAAATAACCCAAAAAAATAAATAAATAAAAATCCTCTTATTACAAGCAAAAATTCAAATATAAAATCCAATATCGGCCCCAAAAAATTTACGTGGCGCTATTCATGGGTTCCCAGAATTTAAATTCGATCTCACGTAACAGAAAATTACAAATTCCGACACTATCACCTGATATTACAAATATAAAAAAAAATTTGATAAAAAAATGAAAATCGAACATGTGATTACAGAATGATTACCGGGTCAGGAGAGTCAGGGGGAGGATAGGTAAGGGTTCGGAATCCAGTTAGAGAGGCATACACGGTATTATTATGGGGTGAAACATAAGCACCTTTTCCTGCTTTCAACTCCGCTGCTTTTCCTAGAACTTCCCCTGGAGTCACCAATTCGCCTCTCGTTTCCTCTTCGTTTACCTTCATTCTTATACGCCTAAAAATCACTCAAATTTCTTTTGCCTGCTCTTGTGTATGTAAACCCTTTATGCTGTATCCGCAAAACCCTTTTTGGACGGGATGCGAACCTTTCGTTTTGGGAAATTGACGCATATTGCCTCAAATATTTGTTGATCTTACGTTTTTAGTTCAAGCCTTTGAAGAGTTACGCAAATAGTCCCAAACTTTAGCATTATTGGCATAATGAGTCCTTTTGGATGGATTTTGTCCAAAAGTACTATTAGTTTTGTGCGTGAAATACATTTCTTTTAAAAATAAGGGGTTGTTCTTTTTGTGTTTGAGTTTTGTATTTTGAGTTTTGAATTCATTTTGGGTTTTGTATTTTGAGTGTCCATTTTGAGATCGTTGAAAATGTGTTCTTTTTTATATTTTGAAAAATTGTTTTGAAAACACTCAAAACGTGTTTTGAAAATTTTGACTTGATTATAATTGAAAACATCCAAAACGTTTTTTTTTTTTTGTAAATTTTTAACTTGCTTTCAAAAACCCATTTTCGAAAATGGGAAAGAGAATACGTTTTCACTGTTTTGAAAAATCGAAAATAGAAAACGGTTTAAAAATGGTAAAGAGAACGTACCCTAAATTTCTTAATGTTGACTCAAAAATGGCAATTTCTCTAACTAAATTTTCATTAGGTTTTTACCCCTAATTCTTGAGAAATAGCAAATTAAGTCCCTTTTGTTTGTAATTTTTTATCTTTACTAGTTCTTGCTCGTGCGATGCACGTGCTGTGTTATTTTGAAGGTAATATTAGTGTGTTAAATCTATTAAATTATTGTAAATTACATTTTGAATGTTAGATATAGGTAATTTAAATCATCCAAGTTGTCATTAGCATTATATTCAACTGTTTGCTAATAGTAAAAGATGACTGTTAGAATTAATTTTACAAATTTAATTTCAATTATGTTCTAATTTCAATATAAGTACAATTTCATTTACTTAAATTAGGATGGTGTTGATATATATATATGAGAAGTTTATCTCCCGTCTAAACTCTGATTACATTGAATGAGAAATATTGAATTTATAACTTAAAAAAGTAAAAACAGGAGGAAT